CCTATTTACATATCTTACAGCTACATTTGTCTTCATTCTAGGCATATATGCCTCTTTTAAATTTGGCTACGTTTTCCACATTTTTTATCGTATCAGGCAAGGTGTCCCAGAAAATGCTCCCCCGGAATGCCAATGAATTTATCCCAAATGATAACGTTTGGTAGGCAAAAGTTGCAGCGTATTTTTCATTCCTAAATTATAAGTCAATTCTCTCTGTACGTAAAACTCTCTCACGAATGAAGGACTCTCATAATTTAATGATTTGTATATCTCTGTCATTCAAAGGTGGATTTATAATCACAAAACAGCTCGCGTACTGCACGTTTATTAGCTCGATTTATCTCCTTATTACATTGCTTTCCACATAAAATCCAAATGAGAGGATAATAGTTGAAATTTGATAACAGAAAGGAATTGTATAGTAATTTTGCCTTGCCTATATCTAGGGAGTTAGCCGCCCTAGAAAATGCTTTCACAATTTGATTCATTTTATGACATAGGGTTTTGATATGCTGGTAAAATTTAATGCCAGCATCGATTGTGACGCATAGAAGTTTAACGTTGTCTGATAAGTATAAGGTATTTCCATTTATTTCAATAAAAATTTCTTTGTATCAGTTTTGGTTCCAAGGACCATCATCTGGAACCTAGGTTGATTAGCTACCATGCTGTTCGATTCGAACCATTTTAGAGCTTGACATAGATCTTCTTCTATGCCAACAAAGATTTCATCCAAATCACTACCACAAGAGAAAATGTTTATTGTTAAACAACTAATGTTAAATTGTCTTCAATTTACTTTCCGGTCCGTGTTGTTTGACCATACAACTGTATGATTCAAATTCGAAACTGGTGAAATTATTTTGAAGAATTTTCGCTCTGAAATTTTAATGTACTCTGATATTGAAGTTTTGAAAGAATAATATTTCCACGGCATCGAATATCTTTCTATATCTGTCTATAAATTCTATATCCCAATAGATGTTTATTTAATTTGAGCGTCATCTTTTTTGTGTGTGTTTCATCATTTAAGCTTTTCTTTGCCTTTCTCTGCAAAAATTTTCCTTAATTTTTTGTCCATTGAAGTAAAATGTTGGAAATGCACAGATGTTTCTCTAGAATGGCACAAAAAAGGATTAGCACTGTACATTTTGTGCCCTACCTTTACCACAATGTCTCAATGACAGCTCTAAATTCTCGTACTCCTCCTTAGCGACGGAGTCGATGATGAAATAGAATTTACCAATCAAACGAGACTTACCTGTAAGCGAAGTTTGATTGAAATTCTATGACCCATCGACACGGAGTGAAGGAGGTGTACGCCCAGCCCGCCTTTTTTCTTTGCATACCCGCCCAAGTTCATTCGAACATTTTTTCATTTTGTCATTGATCCATGGCTGCTCTAAAGACTGGTTTGCATGAACTACCGAGCTCTCTCTCGTACACCTCCTTCACTCCGTGTCGATGAATGATAGAATTTCAATCATTTCAATCAAAACTCGTTTGAATGGTAAATTAAATGCCTAGTTTATTCCAGCCTTAAGACATTGAAGCGTCCATTTTGTTGCGTCAATTAAAGACATTGAAGCTGTCATTAAAGTTGCCATTAAAGCGGCCATTCTGTTCCTATGGTTTCAACCCTATTTCTATACAAAGCTTGACCTGATTTTATCGAGCGTGAAT